ACACCCACTACTTCAGCTGCACCATGCTCTACCTGTTTGCAGAGGCCAACACAGAGGCCATCCAGGAGCAGATCACCAGGTGAGAGGGGTGGCATTTAACTTGCCAACATTCAGCTTTTTGCTTTCCTCCTTTCTGTATTTTTGATCTTTGAGCTCTGAGTGTTCTTACTTTTGGATTTCAGGGTTCTCTTGGAACGACTGATTGTAAATAGGCCTCATCCCTGGGGTCTCCTTATTACATTCATTGAGCTGATAAAAAATCCAGCCTTTAAGTTCTGGAACCATGAGTTTGTTCACTGTGCTCCAGAAATTGAGAAGTGAGTATAACTTAACCACAGAATCATTAAAATGGTACCTCTGAAGCAGCTGAACTTGAGTTTCTGGTGCTGTCACAGCATCCATTTGCTGCCATAAATGCACCTCCCATTGCTTTGCTTCTGTGTGCAGGTTGTTCCAGTCGGTTGCACAGTGCTGCATGGGGCAGAAGCAGGCCCAGCAAGTTATGGAAGGGACTGGTGCCAGTTAGATGAGCTGCATCCTGCGTTGTAAGAGTGCCAGCCTGGAGGTCCCGTCCCATCAGCTGACTGAAGACTCTGTAAGGCTCCTCCTGACCTTCCCAGCCCCCTTGATTGGGTAGACACAACAGACCCTGGGTGAAAGTCTTATGTGGGCATGTTCCAAAGTTTGAAACAAATTTTTTGACTTTCGGCCAAACTTCAGAAGATGCTGTGAATATCATTTGAACTAGTGTAAATACAAGGAACAGAAACATTTGTCTGGACTTTTGGGTTTGTGCAAATTGTGTAAAAGGCAGGTGGGTAACTGGTGCCTGTCCATCTTGTAATAAAGGGGCAGCTGCTGATGCCAAGCACTTGTCTGGGGCAGACCTCCTTGTCCTGACATTCCCAGACTCCCAAAGAATATTGAAAAGCCAGTAACTTATTTTTCTTTATGTGAATGGGGGACCTTTAAATCACTAAGTTGTTTAAAAAAAAAAAAAAAAGTGGATGTGTTTGGAATATGGGAATTCTGTGGAGTACAGGAGGGGTGAGGGAGGGGTTAAGGTTCAGTGTTGCTTTGCCCTCACCCTCATCAAATGCTGATAGACAGCAAGTGGAGTGGCAGTCAGAGAATGCCTCCTTTTTGTTGGAGAAGAAACAGGCCCTTTGGGTGAGGGTCAGTTGTTTTCAGTAAATAAACCAGAGACCAGGCCTATAGCTTTTTTTTTTTTTTTTTTTTGGACAGTTGTAAATTTTGGAAGATGAGGGGTTAAATCTAGACCTTTTCCCACCCTCCCCTGTGACCACACAGTATAAGTTTGTAAAAAAAAACCGAAAAAAAGAAAAAAAAGAAAAAATTTAACAAAACAAAAAACCCAAAGGACCAATACAGCCCATTTTGTAAGGATTTTCAATGTTTTGTAAAGTATTGGTCCACGTGTTGTATTTTGTAGCCTTTCTAGTTCTTGGGCTTTAGTTCTCCCACTCTTGTATGTATGCATACTGTAGTTACACATTAAAGTCATGACATGCAGCACGTGCCACTGTGCTTATTCTCTCCAGTTCTGTCCTGGCAAGATGGTGTCCTCCAAAGCCTGTTCTACCCATCCAAAACCTGCAGTTTTCCAATGTGTTTTGGGCACTGCCTGTTGAAAGCAGCTGGGTTTGTTCTCTAGCATGAGGTCAGTGGGCAGATGTAGTGACTGGACAGGGTCTTGCTTTGAAGTGCAGAAGAAAGGGCAGTTGTGTGAAAATAGAAATGGCTTGGTTGCAAGCCCATGAGCAGAGTTTGTCTCAGACAGGAGACTGCACTGGAGGTACAACAGAGTGTAGACAGCCCATCAGTTCCATTTCTAATGCCTTCCACCCTGCTGTGATCTCCCTGCAGCAGGAACCTGCCCAAGGTTGTGGTTACCTGTTGTAAGGGTAGGCAGCTTCAGTGCTGTTAATATTGCAAGGTCCTTTAACCTAGCAGATGCTAGGAAATAGAGCTTCACTTCTTTCTTTTTACATAACATCAGCTTGTTAAAGCTAACTGCTTTAGTTGACTGCTGTGGTGTGGGCAGAGAGGTCAGGAATTCCTACTCGGCTTGAAGGGGTTCCATTCCTGGCTTTGCATTTGCTGTACAGAGGAAAAAACAGCTCTGAGGGATCACTGAGCCAGCTGTGCCAGTGGGTGACAGCTCAGAGGGAATCCTCTCTCTCTCTCTTCCAGGCATCAGTCACCTCTGTGTCAAGGAGTAGATTGTGGCTAGGTCCTACAATTCCATGGCATTTCTTTGCCAGGTCAGCAGCTGAATTGAAACTGAGCCTTTTGCAGTTGGAACTGTGGACACAGTTCTCTTTTCTTCTTCACTATACATTTTACTGTGCCTCCCATTCCAGTCCCAAGGACACACAGTTCTGCATTGTTTTCCAGAAATTGTATGTCTGTGGTAAAATCCCTGTGATAAAACAGTACAGAATAATTGACAGCCCCCTGTTTGAGGGTTCTCCCATTCAAATGCAAACAGCTCCTGAATTCTGGCATCCAGTGGGATACAAAAGGATATATTTTTTAAGGGAATGTCTTTCAAGTCTGATGCCCTAAACCACTGACTAATGTTTTTTTTATGTGGTTGATGCACATCTTGTGTGCAAGCTTTATGGCTCTTAAATCTTGGACTAGCTGATACTCATCTGAGTGTGGTTTCTTAATGGGTGGAATTGGGGTATTAAACTGACTGGCATTCCTGAAGCAACCCAAAGCTAATAAATCTTTCAATGTTTGGTCTAGCCCTTTTCTAGCTTCCAGTTTAACAGGATGTTGTTTTCATCTTACCCATCTCGTGCCTGGTTTTAATTGGATTGTTACCAGTTTTCCTTCTTGTGATCTTGCAGGAGTGCCAGTCACCTACATGAGAGGAATCACTCCATCATCTATTTTTATGGATATCTCTTCCTCTCTGGCTCTTCTTGATCCTGTAACATAAATATTTATGCCCCCAGGGCTTTTTCTTCTGGTTTATGTACTTTGATCTCTCCTTTTTTAAAGGTTCTTTTTGCATTTAATTTACTTAATTCTCTTCCTAATAATGGCATTGGGCATTTGGATATGTGCAGAAATTTTATAAAACTCTTTCCAATTCCAAATTTGAGTGGCTGGAAGAATGGCTTAATTCTTTTCTTCATATGGCTCCAGCTATAGATGTGCTTTGATTACTGAAAGCATATGTACATCTAAGTTGCTCCTCTATTAGATATTCTGCCTTTTCATTCCCCAAATTTACTGTGACCAGGAGTTCTTTTGGGGATTCTCTGGACCTCTCAGCTGCCTCTTGGTCTAAATCCCAGTTGAGTGTAAGCAGTCAAGCTCCTACTTGTGGAGCCTCCCATCTTTGAGCATTACCTGTGCCCTGGCTTCTGTGGGCATTTGTTTCCAGTGCCTGTTCTGCTTACAGTAACTATGTTGAATTTTTCCTACTAGATGAGAATTTAGCAGTTGAAATCTGATTTCCTTACATTACCTCCTGCCCTTCCAACTATCACAGCAATCTGCCAGATTTACCATCCCTTTTCTGATCTCATTTCCTCTTTCCTTTCTCTTCTCCACCTCATTCTCTTCATTACACTTCCTTTTTATTTCTCTAGTGCTAGAACATGAGAGTCTGCTGTCATCCATCCACATTCCTTCCAAGCCTTATCATTATTCTGCAGTGCAAAGAACAGATCAGCATCTGGTACTTTGCCCCATTTTCCTTCCTGGCAACAAAGTAACATTGATTGCAGGATCCATTATGAGGCCATTTTCCCCAATTCTCTTACAGATAAAAAGGCCACCACATAATCAGCTTCTTAGGAAATGAATCCTTTCCAAGCTTTCCCCATGATCCAAAAATACATTCTTAAGAGTGAAGTTCTCAAAATGCCCTTCTCCAATGAGGTGGAACTTCCAATGCCCATGCAGGCAAACAATCACAAACAGTAGGTGTAACAAACTCTTGTTATAGGTTCAAACCTTTTATATGCTTTTGTCATCACCAACTATGTGCATATCTAAAAAACAAGTTTTAACCCAAACCCCAAACTTTAAGCAAGATACAAAACGTAACACTCCTCTGACATGTACATTTTCCAATATGATTACTTTGGAGACACAGAATAACAGAACAGCAGTTTTAACAATGTCTCTATGAAGGATAGTGGCAGTTGTGTGAGATCCTGCTCAAATTCACTGTTGTCCCATCTAGGAAACCAGAACAAGCTCCCCTCAGCACTGTTAAACCATCCTGTCCCCAAGCACTGCAGGCAGGGCTGCAGCTGAGCTTTGTCATGAGTGCAGCGTGGCTTTTGCTTTCTGCAATACTTTTTTAACTGCAGCAGCAGCAACAATCCCCCTGCACTTAGATGGGGCTTCACACCCTGTTGAAGGAGAGAGCATGGGCTGGGTAAGACAACTCATTTTTATTAAATAGAGCTTGACCTGTCAACCATCAGTGTTTTGTCATGCAAAACCAAAGCGGGTTCAGGGTAGAACTGCAACAAGCAGAGGGTGTATATCAAATACTCAGCTTGCAGCCACTGTGGAACTGTGACAGTGCTCCTCCAGAGTAGTCTCAAGCCCACACAGAAATACCTTTTGTGGAAATAAAAGGAAGTATTTGTTACACTGAGCCTACATGAAGACCAGCTAGATGGGCTTGTACTCTTGAACATGTTCAACATAAAATATGTACAGGTGAAGAGTTTGGTGTTAGCAGGTCCCCCTGCCAGATACTTACTCTGAACCTCTCTAAAATAAGAGCTACCAGCAGGATTTCTGCCCTCTTAATCTGGATAAGGAACAGGTTTTGCCATAAACTTCTGATGCTGAATGAGAGAATCCTCTGCTGCTCTGGCAGTGTATGTGTGCCTTTCTAAAACAGCCATTAAGATGGCTGGGGTTTCTTAAGGCCTCTGGGAAAAGGTGGTATTTGTGCTGCAGAGCTCTCATGGTGCAATAAGGCCACTCAAAACCACCTTTGTGCTGTGAAGATACTTCTTTATGTAGAGGTAGCTAAAAATCCATGTGCTGTATGAGGGACAAGTGGACCCGCAGTCAGTCTTGCCATCTGTCCTCTGTGCTACAGAAGAGATGGCCAGAGGCTGACCTTTCCCTCAGGATCAGCCCCAGCCAGGGCCTGGCCAGGGGCACTGAGGTTTCTACTGAACCAGCTCTAGCAGCTGATGCAAGATCCTCTTCTGTCCGTAGCGCACGTGCAGCGCTTGCTGCTCCCTTCGGCTCAGTTTCTCGTAAGCCTCCTTGTTATTTAGCACGTCCTGCTCTGCTTTCAGGTCTGCCCCATAGGACTCCAGGGTCAGCAGCACACTGTCATAAAGGAGCTTCTTGCAAGGGGTTTTAAGTCTGGAGAGGGCCTCATTTGAAAGGGTGGAGTTTTCCTCTTCGTCACTGTCATCTTCCCAGCCATCTTGCTCTTTATACTCCTTGAATTCTTCTTCTGACATGCAGAGCACCTGTAGTGACCCAGGCAAAGGGATAAGTCACTGGCAGTGTGAGTACATCAGGCTTTCTCCTCTGTAGAACAGAAGAGCCACGTGGAGCAGGTGAGTTATTCCTCAGCTGTGCTAAAGCTAAGAGACTAAAACAAGCTTAGATACCCAAGTGTAAGTAACTGTGGGTTAGAAGAACGTTAAAACAGTAAATCTGAGTATTGGCAAGTCTGGTAAAGCATCTCAGCTGTCACCTACAAAGTTGTGACAGCTTTCTAGAACAGCAGTAGCCATGGAGCCATTCAAGACATGTGAGTACACACTGGATGGCTACTTCAGGAGAGGATGATGACTTAACAGCACCTGGGAGCTGGGCAGCCACAGGCCCCTACTGCTGTTCACACAGGACTGTTAGTGCCAAACTGCCTTCAGGTGCTCGTCCCTTCACTGAGCCATTCTGCACTGCTGATTTGCCCAGCTGCACTCTCTGCCCCCTTCTGCAGTTCTTCTGGCCATTCTTACCTTGAGGGTCATGGACAGCTCTTCCTCTGTCAGCACCTCATCCCAGCCAAGCACAAAGGCACCTTCCTCCCCCACCATCTCCAGCTGGCACAAGAAGTCCCACTGCTCTGAGACCAGCTGCTGCTGCGCTTCACTTTTGGCACCTGTTTTGAAGGCAGCAAGCTGTGAACACAGCCAGGACAGCAGCAGAGGGGGGAGCGTGAACGGAGAAGGGGAAAAAGGAGGCAGAAAACCAAGGCCTGGCCCCACCCCCTGGTTTTCATGTCATCCCTGCTGCACAGAGCTCCCTGTCCCAGAGGGGCTGGTGGCACTCACGCTGCAGCGCCGCCCTGCGCAGTGTCACCATCTGGATGTCGGCCGTGTCGTGGCTGTTGCCGGGGTAGGGCTCTGCGAAGCCGTACATGTGCAGCAGCTGCCAGTTGGCCATCTGCCCGTACGTGTTGAAGATCTCCTGTCCTTTCCTCACGGGCTGCGTTGTAACCATCCTCAGACACTGCTGCAAGCAGGGAGAGGAGAGGAGAGCATCTGAGCTGTGCTGAACCGACTGCTCGTCGGGGGCTTTCAGAGAGTCAGATGGCCCCGAGCTCCTCCTAACCAAACATGCAGCAGGGCTTTGTTTTAACGAGATCCAGGCCAGACTTGCTGCCCTGGGCTGAGACTCCACCTTGCTGTGCCCCCGTTCCCAAATGTCTTATTAAAACAGAACCAAGCTGTGACAATGCCTGGTACAGCAGCTTTGCACTCACTGGAGAGTATTCCAGGTTGGCATTGTGGTTGGCCACGTGATTCAAAATATCTGCTACAGGCACCATCATGGGAGGATTGGGCCCCTTCTCATCTTCTTCTTCCTCCTCCAAAGGTTCCTGAAAGCTAAGACAAGCCAGTGGTACACACGGCTGCACAGGGCAAGCTTCACCTTACACTCAGATTCTTGTGCAGCTGCAGCCTCTAACAGCCTGTACTCCTTCCTTGTCCGTGCTGCTTGCTGGATCAAAGCCCTTACTTCTCACCTGTAAGCCATGACAAATGCCACCAGCTCCTTATACAACTCCAGAGTGTGCAGTTTGGGGTCAAAGATGTCGGGGTGGGTCTCCATGAAAGGCAAGATGATGGAGTTGTACTCCAGCTGGATGTTAGCTAGATCCTTGTCCACAGCTTCTGGGATGCCTGTGCCCTGCAGGAGCCTTATTCGCTCTTCTTGAGGCCTGTTAGAAGAAAAACAGCTTCTTCTCCATCTGTACTAGTGCCAAGGGGTATAAACTTCTTCCTCCTTTAAAATCTCAGCTTCCCCCTGCTCTCCAGGTCCGTGTTCTGTAGCTCTGCCTGTACTGTAACTCCAGGAGGGCCCCTCAGGCTCTGGCCAGTGCCAGCAAAGGGCTTGAGCAGTGAGTTGTTACCCAGCAGGACCACCTCCCTTCCCAGGACAACAGCCCCTGGCCTGTGCCTGCCTTCAGCTGTAAGACTGAGCCTCCCCAAGCCCCCCTGCTTTCACCTTACCAGAACATGGGGTGGTCCAGGCTCCGGAAGCCCTGCCAGAGGGAGAAGTACGGCTGCCAGTGGGAGTTGCTGGCTGTGTACTCGTGGAGCAAGGCCAGCAGGAGAGGGACCCAACCAGACTGGCTCTGCAGGGACTCCTGGGCTACAGAAGCAGAGAGGATGGAGAAAACCTTAATTGTTCTGTGGTTCAGAGCCAAAACCTTATAGGACAAGCCTCCATGCCTGTCTTCAGCCTGGAGACCAGGGTTGAGCTTTTATTCTGGTTTGTCCTGAGCTGAACCAGAACTGGCTTCTCTGGAGTTACAGATGAGCTCTGCCAGGCCCCACAGCCTTGTCCTCCTCGGCCTGAGGCTCTGTGCCTTCAGGAACCAAGGAACTGTTCTTTTTCTTACCAGTTCTTCAAGGAAAGCAGCATCGTACAGGTGCCTGTCAGTTAGAACTTGGAGATGTTGCACTGATGGACTTTTCTCCCTGTCCAGCACAGCTCTTGGGGAAGTGAGGGGATGCCCAGCCCCCTCCCTTCCTACCTGGCATCAAACAGCCCTACAGCATCCTGCGCAAATCAGAAACCCGAGGCTTTACCACAGACCCATTTACTCCTTTAAAAGGTACAGCAGACTCGAGCGCCACAAGAAGCTTGCACTCACCTTCCTGCAGGAGCGCGTGGATGGAGGTGGTGTGCTGGGACAGCAGCGCCGTGCGAGGGATGGTGAACAGCAGCTCCCCCGGCTGCAGCTCCTCGGCGGCCAGCATGCCGTACCCCGCCACCGCGCCCTCCCTGCTCAGGCGGACCTGGGGCCGGAGGGAGCGGTGAGGGGCGGAGCGAAGGCACCAGGGCGGACCTAGGGCAGGCCCGGGCCGGCCCGCGGTGCCTCACCTTGGGGTTCAGCTCCACCCCGGCCCGCCCGCACCACGCCAGGAACCCGGAGAGGGGCTCGGCACTACTCTTGCCCTGGGCGCCGCTCTCGACCGCCGCCTGTGGATGGAACATGGGGTGAAGGGGAAGGAGCCGTGAGGCCGATCGCGGATCCCGTCAGCGCCGCCGTCCCAAGAGCCGCTGTGTCCCCGGCGGCCCGGGAGCCCCCGGCTTCCCCCGCACCTTGAACCTCTTGGGCGCCGACGCCATGACACTGCCAACACGTGGTCCCGCACCACGTGGTCCCGGTCGGGCCCTTCCGCGTGGGCGGGAGCTCCGCCCCCATGGGCCGGGCTAACGGTGGCCAAAAAGGGACAGAAAAGGTCGGGGGAGCAGCGGCGGAAACGCGCCCGGGAGCCTCCTGCGCGGGGGGCCTCGCAGTCCGTGTCTGCGGGGTCCGGCTCCGAGCCCCTCCCTGAAGGCTCTGAGCTCCGCATGGTGCCTCTCTGTGGGAGCCAGGGACCACCGCCTGTCTGTCTGCGGGTGTGTCCAGCACTCGGGGGGCTGCCGAGGGGCCGCGCACCGGTGCGCTCACAGCTCCAGGCGTGGGTAAAAGCTCTAATTAATCAGCGTAATGAAGCTTGTGCTCTTGTTCAGTCGACACCTCACGGACTCCCACCGTAGGTACGGGCTCTGATCTCCCCTCCAGGGCCGTTCCCCCGCTCATTAGTGCTGTCCCCAGCCCCTGCAGGACGGGGGCTGCCCTAATGAAGCCAATTAGTGCGCACGAGGCGTTTGAAGAGGCCCCACGGGGCTCTGTGCGGGGTGTCCCTGGGGCTCCCCCACCCCGTCTGCAGCTGGGTTCGGCTGTCATCGTCTGTCCCTTCCGAGCTGGCAGGGCTGGCTGGCCGGGTGAGCTCCTGTGGGGCAGAGGGTCCCCTCCTGAAGAACGGGGAGGAAGGGCAATAGAATATGAGGGCTGGCAGCTGTAGGTGCCCTCCGCGGCTCCGTGTCTCGGTAACGCAGAGCCCCCGGGGCTCCCTCCTGCGGAAGCGCCGCCGGGGCTCGGGTTGGAGCCGAGGCTGCTGCAGCCCGGAGCGGAGCTCGGAGCCTGCTCGGCCGCAGCCCCCGCGGCCGCCGCTGCCCCGGCGGGGCCCTCCCGCCTCCCTCGGGAGCGGCGCAGTTCCAGAGCCGCTCCCGCAGCATCCCGCTCCTCCCTGCCGCGCGTCCCTGAGCCTGCTCGGTGCCCGGTGAGATTCCCAGAACCCGGCTTCGGCCTGGCCTGCGCTGGCAGCTGGGGTGGCGTGGGAGTGGGAATATCGAAGTGGGTGCCCCAGTGTCCCTGCAATGCTGAGGAAAGCGGGGTCCCCCCCGCCGGTGGCAGAGCTGCACCCCAGAGCCCCAAAGTGAGCCTGGATAGCTCAGCTGGGAGAGCATCAGACTTTTAATCTGAGGGTCCAGGGTTCAAGCCCCTGTTCAGGCGGTGGCTTTATCCTTTAGGACCAAGAAAGGGAGCCTGTGGGCAGGAGCAGCATCCCTCTTGCTGCTGGGGCCCCTGTGGGGTCTGCAGGGTCCCCAGGGCACCCCCTCCTTTTCCTGTCACCAACTCCCCAAGCTGTTCAGAGCTGGCTCCATCCCACCTGACACCCACACAGCATTGCTCTGTTCTTCCAACCACCCAATACTCAGGGAGATCTCATGTTGGATGGTGAGGACAGACAAAGGAGCTATCATGGGTACACCTGAAAGGAGGGAGAAGGAGGATGGATAGAAAAGGAACATCAGAGCTGGAGGGAAGGAAGCCCAGCCTGGGCTTGAAACTGGGGGCTCAGGGATGGCTCCAGGCTGAGTGGGGAAAACTCTTGGGGGCACCCTGGGACTGTGGTTGACTCTCAAGGGGATGTGCAGCACCCTCCACTTGCCTCCTGGCATGCCCAGGCCTTCTCTCACCTTTGGGTGTTCATCATCCCTGTCCTTACTGCCCTGAGCTCCATTCTGGGCCCCTGCCCACCCAGCTCAGGCAGATGGTCCCTAAAAGCCACCCCTGGTGGCAGGGAAGCCATCCCTGGCCCCCTGACAGGGGGCAGAGCGATGTTTTTGCAATGACACTGCACCCACATCAACCCACGAGCTTATTTTATTGTCCTGACAAACTTTGCTTCCCGGCGGCTCCGATCCTTCCAGGCGCATGTGCCATGGCTCAGGCCGAGCTCCGGCCCATGCTCCGTCGTCATTCATTTCTTGCCAGCAAGAAAACAAAGAGATAATAAATAGGAAGCTTATTTGCAGGGAGGGCCCAGGGGACAGCCTGGGGTCACGGGGCAGGCTGTGCCTGGCCCTGGCTGGGGCTGGTGGGGGGGCTGCAGGCAGGACAGCCCAGCCCCGGGCCATGCACACTGTGGGGCTGGGGCACTGAGGGGTCTGGGGGGGATATAGCAATCTCTATTTAATTACATTAAAATAGACTATTTAAAAAAATTATTTCTAGTAGTTAAAAAAGTGTCGTGGTCCATCCCATTCCGGCAGGGTCACGGAGCTGTCCCAGAGCTCTGGGGACACACTGGCCAGTGCTGGGATGGACCCCAGTCTGCTTCACCCTGGGCAGGCCTGTCCGGGGGATGGGCTGTCACAGCGGGCTCCAGGGGAGGGTGCTGGCAGGGTGGCCACCGCGGGTGACAAAGCAGGACACCGTGCCACCCGCTAGCCCCACAGCCACGACGGACCAAAGGCAGGGGAGTGGGCACCCTCCCAGTCCCCACAGCAGGGCCAGTCCCGGGGCATTAAATGACGTGGCAGCAGTTGAACTGCCCCAGAGATAAGAGGCTCTCCTTGGAGCCCGGCCGGAGTTTGAAGGCCAGGGCTTTCTCGCAGAGCGGGAACTGCAGGAGCCTGTCCCGCAGGCTGCCCCCCTTGCTCTTGCCCGGGTCCAGCTTGATCACACTCTCTGCGCCCCCTTCAGGGCCTGAGCTCTCCGCCGACTGCTGGGCCGGGCTGATCTGCTCCCCCTGCCCGGGGGACGTGTCTGCAGGACTTGGGAGGGTGGCAGGAGTTGTCTCTGCCCCCAGTACCTGGGGAACTTCAGCTGAGCTGCTCTGGGGTGACAGGATGGCTCCCCTTTCCTTGGGGAACTCTGCTGAGGAGCCCCCAGGCTCTGTGTCCTCCTCCCTCCTTAGGGGCTCACCTCCACTTCCCCGCGGCACGGGGGGACCCCGGCCCCCACTCACTCCCTTCCCAGCCCAGGCCGTCCCCGAGCGCCCGCCCCGGCCCCCCAGCTCAACCCCCGGCCCCCAGACCTCCCCGCGGCCGGGCGGGCGGTGGGCACGCAGGAAGGCTCGCATCTGCTCCTGGTTCAGAGAGCTGCTCTTCCTCTCCATTGTGCTGGGCCTCTCCTCCTCCTCCTCGTCCTCCTCTTCCTCCTCACAGATCTGCTGCAGGGCCGGGGTGCTCTTGGTGATGGCGGTGTCAACGGCAGGGACCTTCAGCAGGGTCCCCATGGGCTGCCGGCCGCCGATGTCCCCTCCAGGGGGCAGCCGGGACCCCCCGGCGAGGCCACCTATCTCCGTGAAGGGCAGGAGGCTGCCGGCGCTGCCCACAGAGCCAAATGTGTCTGACAAGTTTGGCCTGAGGAAGGGGAGAGACGTGTCAGTACCCAGCTGGGCATCACAAAGGCTGTGACAAGGAAAAGGACAGGGGACCGGCCAAGACCCTGCACTGGGGACTCAGGATGCTGGGGAGGGTGACACAGGATGGGGGCAGCAGGGGGCTCACCTGCTCTGTACCTCCTTGGCCAGGTTGTAAACGAGACTGAGGCGGTGGCCCTGCTTCTCCTGCTTCTCCCGCAGCATCCTCTCTGCCAGCAGGAAATACGTGGCCGTGATGTGGTTGTAGCGGTCGGCTTCCAGCGCCCTGTGTGGGACCAGGGAGTTGCAGCAGCACACAAGGACCGTGCTCGGAGGGACCCCCAGAGCCCCTCAGTGGGGCTCCCAGCCCCGCATCCCATCACTCACTCCTGGATGGTGTCCCGATCCGCGATGTTCCCGCACGTCATGGCCTGGAGGATGATCTCGTGCTCCTCCTCAGACACGCGCTTGTGGGAGGTGAGGGGCAGCAGGGAGCGGCTGGCAGGGGACGGGTCCACCCCCTGCAGCCACGCGTGGCCCTCGATCTGCTCCAGGGACGCTCGCTGCTTCGGGTCCCGCTGCAGCATCCTGGAGATGAGACTGGGGGAAAGGAGTGACGTTGCAGCCCCGCAGCACTGTGTGAATCCCAAAGCAAGCGGCTTTGCCCGCTCTTCCCACCTCAGCTCCCAGGCATCTGCCAGGCCTGGGGCACCCACCCTGGGGGCAGCAAGTTGGGGTCTGGGGGGTACAGTGAGGGGGTGGTGCTCACTCAGCGCACTGTGCCGAGACGTGCGGGGGGATGGTGTAGCGGCAGTCCATGATCATGGTGAGGGTCTCGCTGTCGTTGGCCTCCTGGAAGGGGGGGTGGCCACACACCAGCATGTAGAGGATGACTCCTAGGCTCCAGATGTCTGCAAGAAGCAGCAGCAGCAGTTCAGGTTGCACTCACCATGGCCCAGGAGATTCCCCGCCCCAGGGACCCTGGGAGAGGCTGCCCCACCAGTGCTCACTGGGATGTTCCTTGGAAGTAACAGCCCCCAGGTCTTGCCCCATGGACAGGGGGACCATACTCCACCAAGGCAGGGAAGGACCTTCCCATCAAAACAGGTCTCAAGGGACTTCACCAAAGCAGTTGAGGTGTTATCACCTTGTTCAGGTAGGGACAGGAAGGCCAGTCCTGAGCTCTGCCCCACCTCTCCACTCTCCCCAGTCACACACCCCCCAAGGCACTGTTTCATGTCATTCCTCAGCTTCCTGATTCCCAAACCCCACCACAACCATCCTGACACTGGGCTGTGCTTTAGGAGACTCTACAGCAATCGGAGAGGGACATAGCACTGATCTAGGCTCTCCAGCTGCATAGGGACCAGCTGCAGCAGGATTGCTGCCCTGTCCTGGGGACAGGGATGGAGCCAGAAGCATCTTCACTGGCTCCTCCTGCCCAGCACACAAATTCCTGCAGATGTGCTGGTTTAGGATGCTGAGCACGCCCTGGGGCGCTCCGTTAATACCTTCAGCTGCTTAAGTCGAGTGTTCGAAAATTTCTCATCTGCGTCAGTTTTCTCTCTTCATTTCCCTTTGCAGCGCCACCAGCTTATTTTTCTACCGCCTCCATAAGCTATCCCTGTTCTCAACTCAGGATCCGCCTTTCCCTGAGCCAACGCTGGGCTTTTGCCTTTAAGGGCTCGTGTTTTGCTTTGCTAAATCCTCCTGCCCTAATTCCAGCCAGCCAGCCAGCTCGGATCCTGCTTCCCTCCCACGTCCACTCTGTCACGGCAGAGCTTCTTGGAGCCCCCAGCCCAGCTCCCTGTGCCCTCGGACAGTCTCCCCAGACCCCTGCACCTCCCCTGCACCAGGGGAGGAAAAGCACTGCGAGCCATGGGAAGGAAGTGGTTTTCAGGGTGGGGATGGAGCAAAGGAAACTTTCGGAGCTCCTCCGCCCAAAGAGCAGCATCCCGAGCAGATTTCCTTCCTGCCTCGCCCCGCCAAATAACCACCAGCGCCAGATTGCTGGCAGCTGTATTCTCACACTGCTTCTCCTGGCGGCTGCCACGCCAGGCTCACAGCCTGCTTGGGCTTTTTCCCTTCTCTGGCAACCATCACTCTGTGGGATCTCTGTGGATGCCGGGATGGTCTCCGCAGGGAAGACCCCGCTGTGCCAGGGCAGGGCCAGGCAGCCAAGCACCCAAGGCACAGGCTTGCTCCTTGCAGGGACAGCAGTGTCACTGTATGCTCCTAGTGTAAGGGGCCAAGTGGGAGGTGGTACCCAGCTGGCAGGACCGTGCTCCAGGCAAGGGACAGGAGGGAGGCGGGTCCTCAGGGCCCCCCTCAGCCCTTACCAACAGCCGGGGCATCGTACTCATCCCCAAGCAGGATCTCTGGTGCCGAGTAGGCCAGGGAGCCGCAGCTGGTGGTGAGCATCTTGCCAGGCTGGAAGCGGTTGCTGAAGCCAAAGTCGGTGAGTTTGACCACCCCTTGCTCCTGGAAGAAGACCACGTTCTCGGGCTTGAGGTCACGGTGCACCACGTGGAGCTTGTGGCAGTAGGAGATGGCATGGACGATCTGGGCAAAGTAGTGCTTGGCGCGCGGCTCGGCCAGGCCGCCCTCGTGCCGCATGATGTGGTCAAACATGTCCCCGCCGTCGCCCAGCTCCAGGATGAGGTAGAGCTTGGCGTGGGTGTCGATGACCTCGTAGAGGCGCACCACGTTGGGGTGCTGCACCAGCTTCATGCAGCGCACCTCCTGCAGGAGCTGCCCCGCCGCCTCTCCCGCCAGCTTGCTCTTGTCGATCACCTTGACGGCCACGCGCTGCCCAGTGAAGACGTGCCGGGCCAGCTTCACCACTGCGAAGTGGCCCTTGCCCAGCGTGCGCTCCAGGTCGTACAGCCCCGCGATCTTGCCCTCGCCGCAGCCCTGTGCCCCGGCCATGGCGGTGCCGTCAGGTGGGGACGGGCATCAGGCGCTGAGGGATGGAGGAGATGCTGAGCAATGTGGGGTGAGGGACGGGGTGCCCCAAACACCAGGTCCCCCAGCACCGCTGACACCAGCACTGCCAGGACATCAGGTCCCCAGCAGCCTGGGTACCCCTGACACTCTACCCCCAAGTCCCCATCCCGGGATGTAGACCCCCACCTATATCCCCATCTCCAGTTCATAGTACTCTGGAAATCTCAATTCTTCCATCTCCTAGGGCACCCCATAATCCCCAGCATCTTGAGCACTCCAACACCTCCCTTTCAGTTCCCAGCATCCTGGACATCCCGATACATGCCTCTACTTCCCAGCACCCCAGGACATCCTGATGCCCTCTCCTCCAGGTGTCCAGAACCTACAGCACTCTGAGCACCCCAATACTCCTGCCTCCAGTCCCTCATTACCCTAAGCAGCCCCATACTCCATCTCCTGGATCCCAGCAGCCTGAGCACTTCATACCCCTACCTCCAAATCGCCAGCACCCCTGTCACCCCGTACTCCCCGACCCCAGCATCCTGAGCACCCCAACAATACCAACCTCCAGGTATTCGGCATCCTGGCCACCCCAATATGCTCACCTCCACTACCCAGCACTCTGGGCACCCCCACACCTCCATCTCCAGTGCCCAGCACTCCGGGCCACCCCCATAGCGCCAACCTTTAGGTCTCCAACGCTCCTGTCACTCCCGTATCCCCTTCTCCAATCCCCAACATCCGTGCCACCCCCATGCCCTCACCTCCAGACCTCAGCACCCTGGGCACCCCCGTGCTCCCCCTCTAGCGCCCCGGGCAGCCCGATACCCACCCCTGTCACCCGGTGCGCCCCGGCGGAGCCGCACTCACTGGGGCGCGGAGCTGCGACCGCCGGGGCTGCGGTGCCCGGGCGCGCCCGCCCCGCTGACGTCAGGGCGGCTCCGGGATCGCGCCTTAAAGGGCCCGGCCCGGCGGGCCGAGCCGGGGCGATGCTCATCGCACCTCCGGAGAGGCAGCCCCCGGGCACCGCTGAGTCCGGCAGCTGCCGCGGCCCGGCTCGTTCCTGCCTGTTTGGGGTAGCGGGGACTCGGCTGGCCTCAGCGGTAACGAGGGCTGGTGATGAGCTAAATGAGCCGCCCGCCTGCCTGCATGCTTCCAGGAGGAGAGGGAGAGCCCCCAGCCCGGGCTTGTCTCCGGAGGGTCCCACCGCTGGGGGCTCCTGCCCGGGATGCCCGCTCATGGGCATCTCTGCTGTGCCACTAACCCACCCCATCACCCGCTCCCTCTCTCGCTGGAGCCTGAGCCACTGAGCCGGGAGCGCAGCCCTGGCCCCCCTTTCCCCCTCGCTTTAAGCCCGTCTTTTCCTGGAAGCGGCCCGGCGAGCGGCCGGCCGCCTCATTTAGCTCGTTACTGGCCATCGGGATGCGCACAAAGCAGATGTTGCTCGGGCAGATTAAAAAGCTCTCAGCGCGGCCGCCCTCGTTCCCGCTAATGCCTTCCCAGAAGTCCCGGCCCGCGGCCCCGCCGGCTGGAAACAGGCCCTAATGAGCTGCGCTGAGGGCGCCGTGCGGGGGCTGCTGTCCGCGGGGACCGGCAGCCAGCACCAAGCACCCGGGCCCCCCAGGGCTCAGCAATGGAGGAGCTGCGGCTGGATGGGACACTCGGCACCCAGCTGGGCCTCAGGAATGGAAGGGGCTGCCAAACCTGCTCCTCATCCAGGATGACTCTCTCCAGGCATGCGGGGTGCAGGAGGCATCCAGGTGCCGTGGCAGGGGATCCTCACTGGGTGTTGTGCGTTGGGGGACACAGATGGGTGCTGAGTGTTTACTGCAGCCACACAGCTGGAGAATGACACATGGCAGATGAGCTCCTCACTGGTCCTGTGCCTGCTCAGCCTGTCCCTCAAATGCAGCAGGAATCAGACCACGCCAGGACAGGGGATGTAGGAGCAGAGGATGCCTGGAAATACCCCCAGAGGTGGTGCTGCAGCCAGGAGCAGGGGCTCGTGCTCTGCTGAGGATGTGCTGGGAAGCCTGGGGGTCCTCCTGGTCTAGGAACAGCCTGGAGAAGGCAGAGCCTGGGGATGTCAGAGCCTGCTGAACTCTTCCTGTTGTGTCTTATTCCCCCAATTCCTTGCAGGGCTGAAGCCATTCAAGGCCACAACTGTTCCCCAAAGGAGCCTGGCTCTGGGGAGATGCAGGTTTTCCAAATAAGACATGAGTAAGAGATGCAGTTAGCACAGGTGGAAGTCTGGAGAATCTGCAGATGGTTTGTGGTCAGGAGCTGGAGGACTTCTGGAGGCTCTGCACTATGAGTGGATGCTTGCTGGGAGACCAAGATAGGCAACTTTCCCTTTGAAAACCAGTCAGGCTTGGCATGGTTTTGGTGAGGAGGTTGTAGCCCTGTTATATCTGTATTTGGGAACTAGGAGATGTCTCCTCAGGTTTGGTGCTGGAAAGGGAAGTGGGCTGCAAGGGCAGCGTGGATCACTTCCAAAAAACCTGGGAGTTTGGAGCTAACAGGGATCTGTTCCTTCCTGCAGCTGTGCAAGGCACAAGGCAGGAGTCCCCCCTCCCATGCATCACCCCACTGGCTGCCTCTCCATCCAGACAAAGCCCGTTTTCCAGAGACTCCCACCTACCTGGTAGTTAGCGAAGTCATGTGGCCACAGCACTTAATTAATGAAAAGCTGATATAAATCCCAGTAAACATGTGGGGAGGAGGACACTGAGGCAGAGGGCGGTAGCGGCGCTTCCAGCGAGCTCAGTGGAGCAGCGGACAGCAATCCCCTCTCTGCTGGGAGAGGTCAGTGCTTACCATGGGAAGGGTCCTGGGAGCGTGTGGGATGTGATGCCCATGGCTGTGGGGCTCCCCACAGTGCAGAGGGGTCTCTCCCAGCAAAGAGCTGGGTGGTTTTGTGGGATGGGGAGATGAGGAGTGGCCAGCACTGGGCTGCTGGAGCCAGGTTTGGAACCTCAAGGCTGCCCAAGCAGCAGGCACAGGGTTTCCAAGGATTTGGCTGACATTGGGTGGATACCACCTCCTGGCTCCTTTACTTTTGCTCCCTAAGAGATCACCTACTTTTTAGAGCCTTCAGGCCCCCAAAGCCCACAGCCTGGCCCTGCAGCTTCTCCTGTCCCCAGCTGTGTGTGCTGTGGTCCATCTCCCTGCCCAGCACTCAGATTCTAGTGGCACTTCCAGGCTCGGAGCCTGTCAGGAGCCATGTCAGATGTTTTGGCCACACACTGTGCACCTCAATGGTCTGGTGGCTGCTGTGTGTGGGGCAGAACCTGAACTGACACAAAAAAGATCAAATCTCAGTCCATTCTCTGTTGGTCTCCCCTTTCTGTGGGGAGATCATGAATGTGCCTACATGTGGAATACCCCACAGCACATGACAGAGCTTTGGGGGCTCCTGCTCCCAGGTGTCTGTGGACCCAAAAAAAGGCTCTCAAGTCCAAGGGAACAAACAGCTGGGAGTGGTAGCTGTGCTGGCAGAGGCTGCACCTTGCTGACATGGCACTTCTCGGGGTGGCGGGGGACGATGGCAGTGGAGGGGACAGGCCAGGCTGCCAGCAGGCGGGCTGATGCTGGCCAGCCCCCTCTGCACAGGTTTCCCCCCAGGACCATGCTGAACGTGCTGCTGCTGTGCTGTGGGCTGCTGCAGGGGATCCAGGCTGTCCTGGATCTCAGGACTGCTGACCTCAGCTGTGGGCACCTGCAGAGGGCGAGCGGCGGGCTGGAGCGGGTGGACAGAGCCCGCCCGGCCGGCCCGCAGCGGAAAGGGAAGGAGGCGTCTGCGGAGCCGGCAGGTGAGTCCCGGCGCCGCCTGCGCGCCACTGACCCCACCGGCTGCTCGCTGGGAAACCCACGGCCAAAACTGAACTGGGGATGCCCTTAAAGCAGCACAGCTTCTCCTGGCCCTGGCTAGTGACAGCGGCTTGGCAGCCCGCAGGGAGCGGGGTCTTTTTTTTGTGGGGACGCACGAGCAAAGGGAGAAGAATCAGAGCTGACCCTCCAGCAGCCTCCTGGTCCAGTCTCTCTGTATCTCGCAGGAGTTCTCCCAAGGCTGGGGTTTGAGCAGATGGCCCTGGGGGTCCATGAAGCTGATGATGACCTTGTGCAGAGAGGCAGCCTGCTGGAACCACAGGTATGGCTCCCTGAGCTTACAGACAGCCCTAAGAGCAGGGCGGCCTCAGGCCACAGCAGCCTTCTCTGTGTCCCTGGGGCTGGGGGTCTGGAGCTGGTGCTGCCTGGGATGGGGCTACCTGTCCATCACCTGAGGAACTGGGATTAGCTGAGGCTGCTCTGACCTGCAAGGGGCTCCAGCACTCAAAGGAGAGTGGTCCAAGGCTGTGCTCCTGTAATCCATTTAATTAACGTCAAGTGCAGCCCAGGAAGCCTCTGCAGAGCAGGAGCTCGGTGGGCAGTGCCCTGTGTTGCCTGGCTCAGCCCCTGGAGCCTCTGTTCGGGCAGAAAACACAGCACCGTTCGCTCAAGTTCAGGCTGCGCTCCGAAGTAAACGTGTGCAGCAAGGCCTTGAGACACCAATGCCTGCAGAGTGCACAGTGCTCAGCAGTGATTTCCAACAGAAAATAGAGCCCGGAGTTGAACACGACAGAAGCAATGCCAAGCTTCAGCAGCCACTCTTGGCTCTCTCCCACGCAGTTCTTTATTGCTGGCACAGCAGCCCAGGACCACCTCTTCCCCTCCTCTTCCTCCTGTCTCCCCTGCAGGCATCATCCACAGAACTGCAAGCTGAGGGCCGAGAGGAGCGCTCCCCCCGCCGCTGTGTCCGGCTCCTGGAGTCCTGCCTGGGCCACCAGATCCCCTGCTGTGACCCCTGTGCCACCTGCTACTGCCGCTTCTTCAACGCCTTCTGCTACTGCAGGAAAATCAGCACCGGCTTCCCCTGCGGCAAGAACTAGCGCCCCAGGGGCTGCCAGCTGCTCGCCCCTGTGTGCGCCTCCTCCTCTGCAGCTCCAATAAACCAGCCCTTTGCAAAAGCCACTGCAGAGTGGGAACGGTGCGAGGCGTCTCGGGCTCTCCTGGGGTGGCAGCGAGGTGAGGGTGGGCTGCGCACAGCCGGGCAGCGTCCACACCCCAGGGCAAACCTGATGTGCCTTTCCTGGATCCAAAAGTGCAGTTTCAGCAGCAGGGCACCCCAGGTGATGTTCTGGCTATGCTGCTGTTACCCACAAAGTCGGGCTCGCTCCTCGGTGTGCCCCGAGCCGATAATGGCACACTGCAGAGAGACATCGATGATTGATTTCAGAGCTGCCCCAGCCTGGCTGCTCGGTGCTACTCCACAAACCCAGCACACCCCGCCAGGCTTTCTGTGCCATTATTTACACAGAGAAGTTCAGGGTTAGTGAATTCCTGAGCACAGCCCCTCTGATAAGATTGGTTAGTAATTTCCATAGAAATCGCATTACTCCAGATACCTTCTACTCATGCTCAGGGAAAAGACCTTCATCTCAACCGGGTCTTTTTGACCCTGCAGTGTGATTGTTAGTGTTAAAATGAAGACAGCTCAGCCATAGGATACATGGACCTGGAGTATCTCGCCAGGTTAACAACATACATGTAGACACACATCACCATCTTGACTTACTCCATCCTTAAAGCTTGTTCTGGGACATTCTGGAGTGAGGGGTGCTCGCTGCTGCCTGCTCCACTGGTTAGGTCTCCCTTCTTCCCAATAGCTTTAAAAGTACACCGAGGTCTTACATCAAAGAACATCTTGCCTTAATATAACCTTGACATACCCCACATTTTGCAACACCTTTACCTCGAACAAAACTATTTCATTTTTGCGCAGAGCAGCTGCTGGCAAAGCCCTTTAACCGGCTAGGTATTTCCTGACTAACAGAAGTGCTGTCTCAGCAGTAGGCGACACCGCGAACTTTACGTGTGCATCCTCCTTGTGCCTGTACCGCTCACGGTGGAGTGAGGGGGGCTCACGCTTGGCGCCGGGCAGGCGGAGCACGGGCGCGGGCTCATGGCGGCCGCCATCGCCTCAGGCCCTTCCCGCCCCGCGCTGGCTGCCGGGAAGGGGCCGCGGCCACGTGACCCGCCGCCAGTCACGTGAGGCGGCGGGCGGTACGCTGCCGCCTGTCGCTGCCGCCATGTCGTGTTTCCCGGAGCTCTATTTCAACGTGGATAACGGGTACCTGGAGGGGCTGGTGCGCGGCTTTAAAGCGGGGGTACTCCGGCAAGGCGACTACGTGAACCTGGTGCAGTGCGAGAGCCTGGAGGGTGAGTAGCGGTGGAGGCCTGAGGCAAGCGGGAACAGCCCCCCCCCCCGCCATCCTGAGGGGAATGTCCGGGCTGTGGGCTGAGGGGAGATGGTGGGGGGCTGTGCGGAGGGGCTGCCTGGCAGTGGGGAAAAGAGCCGATAGCGGCGTTTATGAGGAGCTGTTCCCGCTTTACCCCGTGGCTGCGGGCGCAGTCGGTGTCCCGTACTGGCCCTCAGCTGACTCAGGTTCCCGGTCGGCCCGGCCGTGTGATTGCAGCAGCTGATGCAGTGCTGTGAGGGAACTTGGGCTCCCACTGCTTTCTTGAGGTGGCCGTGTAGCTGTACCTGCGGCTTTTGGGAGCCTGGTGGGTTTTGACAGGCGTTGCTGGTGAGACATGTTTGTGCCTTGACAGGCAGGAAGCCTTTTAAGGCCTGGAATAAGGTTATTGGTATAATCTAAGATCCGTGATGTCCATTATTAGTGTTTAAGGAGATCAGGACACTAGGAAAGTACTGGCTGTTATTGAAAGGTCACTAGTGGAAAAGAAATCTACTGCACAGATGAGTAAATTCACCAGTGAATTATCTGTTGCCTCTGATTTGGTGATGTCTTTCGAGGCTAATTCTGATTTCCAGCCATCATCTTTTTTTTCTAGATCAGTGTGTGCAAACTTGCAGAGCTGTCAGGATTTCTTTTTTAGTTGTGGGGGTGGTGAAACACTGGCACAGGTTGTGCAGAGAGGTGGTGGGTGCCCCATTATTGAAAACATTCACGGCCGGGTTGGATGGAACTCTAAACAAAGTCAGCTAGCTGAAGATATCCCTGCTCATTGCAAGACTACATGGCCTTTGAAGGTCCCTTCCAAACCAAACTATTCTGCAATTCTGTGATCACCTGTGATCATTGTCTTAATCAGTTGGTGCTGAACTGTTCCTCTGATCAGTGACCTGCTTAGCAGTTTTCACTCCTTAGTGTACAGAACCTGGACCACAAATCACAAAGATTAAAACTAGGCCTGTCTTGAAATAAACTAGAAACACACGTATCCAGAGATGTTGGTTGTTTTGATCAGTGGAACTATAATTATTGGATAATTTTTTCTTCTAAAAAAATGAGTTAAGCATCAGTTTTATCTAGACAATCATTGCTGAGTGGTTAATTGGCATTGACAGTTTAGATGAATCCCTGGCCAGCTGAACCCTGGATGTAGGTTAACAATAGAATGGGAACAGAGTGCTGTGTTGTGCCCCAGTCTCTATCTTAAAAATCCCCAGTATATTTTTACTCAGGACAGAATCTCTTTTTCCACTTCTCTTTTTTTTGCAGCTCTTTGCTTGCAGCAGTCGCTGTCGTTCCTGCTGTGGAGCCTGAAGGAGAGCAGTGGGAGTGACTTCTGCTCTCTTGGTAGTCACAAGTCTCAGCACGCCCTGAACTGTGACTTTTTCACCTTTCCTGCAGATAACTTCCTCTTTGGAGTCTTTCTGTGCTTGGAGCTTCTCTTTTCTCTCAGTTTCTGAAGCAAGCTGCTTGAGCCCAGTTCTCCCTTGGATGGTGTTGGCTGCGTTTGGAATGAGTCACGTTGGAGTTCCCGTATGTTTGTCATGGGATTGTTGCTGTTCTGTCCCCAGCAGCTCTCTGGTGGTGGCAGCTGCTCTTGGTCACGCTTCATTCAGAACCTGAAGGCTCTTCCAAATTCACTGCCCATCTTGTTACTCCTTCACTTGGCTCGCCGTGCCCTTTTGGAGAGGGATTTTTCTTCAAAGGAGAATTGTTCTTTATTACTTATGTAGGTCTCTAGTCAAACAATTTCTTTCCTCTGTCCTTTTAGTGCTGATTTTCTCATTTCAATATTTGTTTTCTGTGCTCCACTAACTTTTAACATGTTTCTTTCCCTCCCAGATGTTCTTCTGCCCTAAATCCAGGCAGTGGCTGATGTATTAGCAGCCAAAATAAGTACTGGGGCACAAATTACTGATACATTCTTCTCTGCTCTCTGTTTAGTCCTTGCTGCTGCCTCTCACATGTCTGGCTCTGCAGTTAGTCCCAGTCCTGGAGCAAGTGGTTGCCTTGGCCACAGAGAAAGCCTGAAGGACCAAGGCTGTTCTGGGTCTGGCTCTGGGAAATGGGTATCTGGCTGCTTGGAGGACATTGTGCTTCCAGGTCTGAAATGCTGCTCCCTCTGGTGTGCCCAGATCAGTCTGGAAGCATAAAGGGACTGACTTGTCTGTTTCAAGACTTCAGCTGGCAGTTTAGTGCTGCTGGAAGGGAGGAAATCGTGCTTTTCTGCATGATCCCCTGTTGTCTCTGCTGGTCTGATCACAAGGTAATCTGACCCGGGCTCTCCATTGCTGAGTCAGAAACAGAGAGCCAAACGGGCTGTCTGTGTCAGGCAGGCTCCTGAGCTGGCCATAAGAAGTGCAGAAAAACATGAACTGAGGATGTGTGTGCGAGAGCTGTTTTGGTTTAAGCTTTCTTTTAAACCCTTTAGCAATAACACGTTTAATCCCTTCTTTCAGCTCCAAAAGCCCTGGTGCTCAGGTTGTTCCTCAGCCCTGTGCAGTACAGATGAGCTGGGAGCATTTGGAACCGGCCTGGTGGTCGCTGTTGTATCCAGTTCCTGCTTCTGACACAAGGTGTCAGTGAAGGACCTGGAGCTGCTTTCCCCTGCTCCAGTGCGGTGAGCATGGATCTGTGCCTAAGTGGAATCTGTCTGGGGCAGCCAAACTTAGGAGTCACCCAGATTTCTACTGTCAAAAGATTGCTGAGTCATCTTCAGCTCTTCAAGCTGTGGTGGCCTGTCAGAGGTCTGATGTTCTGTCAGGAGAATGAAGAGCTGTTGATGCAGTTGAGCAGTGGTGATGCTTTTAAGCAGCAGAGTTCAGTCTGGGACTGGAATGTAAGTGACAAACTGGCTTTATTGTTGGTCTGCAAAGTTCTCTTCTGCAAAAAGCATGCAGAGCCCGAGAAGTGCACAAAAGCATCTTGAACCAGGAGTGTCTTTACTTCTAGGTCAGTGTTCATGAGCCTTGTATTACTACTACTTCTTCTTGCTTCCACAGCAGCAGTGAAAAGAGCTACTTTCTTTCTGACTTGCCAGAGTTGTAGAGGTGATTGGTGGGTGAAATCCAGCAGCAGGATGTGTCACCTTCTAGCTGGATGATGAGGTTGAGGAGTGGCAGCGAGTTGGCTCAAGCTTGTGGGCCTCTTTTCAGAGAGGCCTTCTGGAGACTGTGGATCTCAGCACCACCACTCTGTGGGTGCTTGTGCCTCTGTCCGTGCAGTTGGGACCTGGGATACCTTGTAAGCAGTGGTGTGCACTTGGAGGAGTGGGATCTGTCCATGGAGTTTGTCTGTCCAGGCTGCGTGCAATGTGTGCTTTTGTTTTTGTTGTCCCAAGGATCTTTTCTTCTCCCCTGCAGGCTGCCTTTGCTTTGAGGTGTTCAGCACATCTCCTTTCACGAGAGAAGAGCAGGGAGGCTGTGCTATCATCTCTTTTCCATTTTATCACTGTGGCCCTGGAATTTAGGCCCCAAGAAGGCTGGAGCTGGGCTTCTCTTTCAGCATAACCACATGGGCAGTGTGTCCTCTCTTGTGTGAGGGTGATGCAGAGCTCCAGACTGACCTCAAGAGTGCTTTTGGTGGAGCTCATTATATTCCCCTGTGTGAAGGGAGAGCAGCATAGATCCTTTCCTGTGCAGCTCCTTTACTGTACTACCAATCAGGGAGAGGCCGCTTGATGGTCCCGAGGTGTGGCCATGCTTAGATCCATCCTGAGCTCTGAGAGTGGTTCAGTCTGAACTCAGGGGCTGTAGAAGCCAGGCCTTAATGTGCTGGAGACCTTTCATTGTCATTCACACTATGATGATTTGTCACTTTCCTGACATCTTGGAAAGTGAAAAGCTGACCCCTTTGTGTTGGGACTATGCAGCAGGACTGACCCCTGGGCCCAAGAGCTTTCTCCTGCCAAAGGAGGCAGAGTCTACAGGCAAGGTGAGATCTGAGGAAAGTACAGACCATTCCTGTCCTCCAAATGCTGACTTCTTGTGTAGCAGTAGAATAGTGTCCAAAATGCTGTCCTGCTAATTTTGGTGCTTTGTCTTGCATCCTTTATGGGTGTAACCACTGGCTGTGGCTGTTTCATCAACTCTCCCGTTAAATCAAGCTTCAGGAAAACATCATTTATTGGAAGAATGATGGCACTTCCATAGCCTGCTAGATCATGGTGGCAAACAAACACTGTGGTCACTGGCTTCCTGCAGGGTTCAGCAGAGGCTCTTTGCTGTTTGTTCTGGCCTCCTTTACCAGGCAGAGACCTGCTTCATAGCTTCTCCTAGCTAAACTTCAAGCAGCAGCTGAGGTCAGCTTCTCAGTACTGGTGCAGCTTCAGCCCTTGTTTGGGTCCTGCCCCTTGTTAGATGATGATGCTGTCTGGCTTTCCTGGCAGGTATTGCTGCTCGGCAGCCAGTCAGTGCTTTCATCTTGTTTTTCCTCAGCTGTCGGCTCCTGCAGCATGAGACTGTGTTCTGCCCTGTTTGTTTTAGTTTCTCAGTAATTTGTTGCCTCTCCCTTAACGCCTGCACTAGGTGCTGGGCTGATGTCCTGCACTGGGCTTCTGAGGTTACAGAGTGACTTAGAGGAGTCTGCTTTTGGAGGGGGGAAAAAGCTTATTGGGGATGCAGGCAGATGAGGAGGGATTACCTTGCCTTTTGGACAGTTTAGGAAGGGGCTGCCTAGTTGAGGGGCTCTTCATGGAAGATGACCTGGCTGTGCTGGGTTTGAAGTCTGAG